GAGTTGGAGGTTGCTGTGAGCGTGATGCCATGGCACTCTACCCAGGGGGACAGCTTGAGGCTCTGTCTCAAAAAAAAAAAAGAAAACCAGTGTGTCTTCACTAGAATAGTGGTGAGATTAAAAGAAAAAAAGGAAAAGAAAAGAAAAGGCCAAGGTGGACAAGAGGACCACTTTATTTATTCATTTTTTTAAGAGACAGAGTCTTACTCTATTGCCCTCGGTAGAGTGCGGTGGCATCACAGCTCACAGCAACCTCCAACTTCTGGGCTTGGGTGATTCTCTTGTCTCAGCCTCCCAAGTTCAGCTACTGGGACTACAGGCACCCGCCACAATGTCTGGCTATTTTTTTGTTGCTGTTTAGCTGGGGCCGGGTTCAAACCTGCCACCCTCAGTATATAGGGCTGGCGCTCTATCCACTGAGCCACAGGCACCCAAGACCCCAGGACCCCATGGACCCAAGAGGACCATTTTCTTTTCTTTTCTTTTCTTTTCTTTTTTTTTTTGCAGTTTTTGGCCAGGGCTAGGTTTGAACCTGCTACCTCTGGCATATGGGGCCGGCGCCCTGCTCCTTTGCACCGTCCAAGGACCATTTTCTTAAGAATAGATGTGGGTCAGGGGAAGGCTGAACAGGCTCATGCGTGACTATTAGAAGATATGCTGTCTCCTGGAACATAAGCGATCATTAGCACCTACCAGTCGGCTCTAGGTGCCTCATCTCTTAGCTGAACTGGTAAATATCAATTGCGTGAATCATGTGTATCATCTGCAGTGGACAGACCTGGGTCTGGGGGACAATGCCACCCCCTCATACACCCTGTAGTTTAGACCTTATACTGGGCCCACTCAGCCTCTGGCTTCTACTTACAGAGTTAGAATGAAATGTGATCACCTATTTGTGCCGCCTGGAACACGTGAGAACTAAAACATCCCCTCTTCTGAGTTCCAGGTGCTATGTGAGGTTGGCACCTTTTCCTCTCACTTTTCGTGTTTTTTTTGTTTTTGTTTTTGTTTTTTGAGATAGAGTTTCACTTGGTCACCCTCAGTAGAGTGCCATAGTGTCTTTAGCTCACAGCAACCTCAAACTCTT